TGGCTATCGCTCGCCAATGATGTAACCGTGAAAGCTCAGAGATTTGGCCTCGGGTCAGGAGGTTCATCGCTAAGTGGGCCAACCACTGTTGCTCCTAACTCCACTTACCGAGTCGTCCTCTCTCGTATGGCGTTTAAAAAAAGCAACAGCCCACAATTGTATCTTGTTTGTTTGTTTTGTGAGACATTCGACCGCATCCCGTGCAGCCGGGTGGGACCCGCTTGTGTCACGACAATACGTGTTGTTGTTGTATTGGGCAGTCGTCGCTCAGTATACTTCGCCTACAATGTATTCACGATCATCAAATGGACCGGACGCAGTTTCCTACGAGTTCAATTAGCAACCAGTAAAACTGCATAAATATCAACCTCGTTCAACGTCTGTCGTCCACAGAGAGCAGTCTTGCGTCGGGTGTAATCCACCAGATTATCGAGCATCCTGCCACGAAGGGCTCGAACGGGCATGTGAAGCATCACCGAGATCGGTTCTGCGGCGGTGCGCGCCTGTGATCCAGCAACTTGGCGAGGGGGTCACTGCATCATACGGGGAGTAAAGACATTGGGAGAGACGCCTACTCGCATGGCAATGAGACAGCACTGCGAGCGAAGGTGCTCGCTTACTCGTGCGGGAATTGGAACGGTCATCGCCAGGTGTCTGGGTTTACCCGAGGAGCCGTGGCTCACCTCCGTCATGCACAAAGACAAAGAATTATCGCTCGTATGGCCTTCAGCTATTGGAGCAAGTACCGTTGGTGGCCACATATGAAGGTCGGCACGGCATACGAGGGGTGGGTGGCCAGCATCATGCCCGGCCGCGTTTGTCTCCCAAAAGGCGATGTTTAAACACCACACGAAGTATACTCATTTGAGGCTGAGTCGACCTAGGGAGGCCCAGGACCGGTTCAGATAATCGTCATGTTCAAGAGCATTGCTCAATATAAAAAAAAATCATTCGTGTAAAAAAAAAATCCAGACCCAGCGAGGATTTTGTTGGAAGTTGTTTCAGGCTGTATTGCATATTGCATTGCTTCATTTCACTCTCGAAATGTATTCATATGATACAGTTTAAGTTCGCCTATAGAGTTGTCGAAACACAAAACGTGTACAAGAGTGACACTTTACTTGTTCTAGGCCTGTTAAGCGATTCCCAGGAACCGTTTTCAGAATAAATTACTGGTCCCAAAAGGCAGGAACCCGCAATCATTTCAAATGAAATTTTGGTCACGTATGCAATGATTGGAATGTGCAAAAAACATTTTGGAAGAGGTGGGGGGGGGACGCGACCCACACGACCCTGCTACACGTGACCTGCCGATTGCCTTGACCGTGGCGTTACCCGTTGTTACCAGTGGCGCGTCGGGAGATAGAACCGGCGCTAGCCCTGGATTGTAAGTCCGGCATGCCAACCATTAACTCCGCATAAAGGTAAATCCTGTTACGTTTATTGCTCGACGTTTTGTTGACGTGCAGGAATCCAGTCACTGCCTTTTCACGATGCAAAAAAAAACCCACGGTTTTAACAAGCATCATTTATACCCACGATTGAGTAAATTAAACAGAAATATATATTACACATTTATTCAACAGTAAAGTGCTGATAACTCATCAGGCATTGGAATGGCATATTAATAGACTAGAACTCCACGTATTAACGGTGAGGTGGGGGATGAACATCGACAGATTCCTGTCATGTACGATGTTGTCTGCACGATGTTGTCTGCACGATGTTATCTGTACGTTGTTATCTACACGATGTTATCTACACGATGTTATCTGCACGATGTTGTCGGTACGTTGTTATCTACACGTTGTTATCTACACGTTGTTGTCTGTACGTTGTTATCTACACGATGTTGTCTGCACGATGTTGACTACACGATGTTATCTACACGATGTTATCTACACGTTGTTATCTACACGTTGTTATCTACACGTTGTTATCTACACGATGTTGTCTGTACGTTGTTATCTACACGATGTTGTCTGCACGATGTTGTCTACACGATGTTGTCTGCACGATGTTGTCTGTACGATGTTGTCTGCAAACACATCTGCAACAAGAATTGCGGATGATCGCAAATAGGAAAGTTCGTGGAGCCTTTAGCTTTCACAGGCAATAGGAGTCACGGATAACAAGATCATAGATAATAAGAGTTCCATTGCAGCATGATTCTTTCATCCTATGTTAAGAAATCTTGTACCTATTTCTGAGTAAGAAGATTTAAACATATTCTACTTTGCATCCGTGCTTTGAGTGTACCCATATCTCACATGCGATACCTCTCTTTGAAGGCAACAGCAGCTCAGTAGAATATTATAGAGCAGAATTAATCATGGGCTGTCAGGCACATTGGGTGGATGGCAAAAAGGAAGAATTAAAATATTCAAGCCGTTCAGCAATCTGATAGGCATGCGATAAATAGAAATTCACGGGCTGCCCGAGATGACCAAAGGACAGGCAGAGAGAGTTGAGCAAGACCAAAGTGTGAAGTCGAATTTGAATTAAAACTTCCATAATAAATTTACAGTCATACTTCTATGAAGAATACCGTTACGGCTCTATCCGAATGGGATCAGCTCAATGAAGCGGACTATCATTTTTATAATTTTAATATATTACACGAGTGTATATTATGAATTACATACGGTGATAATAAGATAATTTCCAGCTCGCTGCCATGTCGCCAGTTTCACAGCACGGTGCGCGCTAACCACTGTGACCACCGCTCCTCCCAATGAATTACACACATGCGTTTCATTTGCCTGGATCAAACATTAATTCCTCGAATTACCATTCTGCTTGTGGTATTAACATGTGCTCACAGTTCGGGGCCATATTAAACATGCTAAATCAACACGGCAAACATTTCTGTGCAAGCTATAAGTGCCCGAAGCAATTAAGGCAGTGCACATTGAGCACATAGTACGCTGCACTATTTGGATTCAGCCCTGAGCTGTATACACAAGGGTGATTGTGCACTGATACCATAAACAGTTTACGTGCAAAACAACCACGTGAGAGGGAATGCAAGGCACTGAGTTAATGGAGTGTTCCAAAATACGAAGCCAGTCGCACACATGGAGTAGATGATTGGCTAAAAATCTTAGTTTTTTAAATTTATAGTTTGTAATAATGTTTTGAAGTTGTAAGGCACACAGATTTTGTTGACTCTCAGAGAGAGGGAGAGAGGGCATGATTCAGAGGTGCAGAAAACCATAGGCAAGCAGTAAGACAGCCAGAGCCAGCGCTAACCTTTATGCAAGGTCTATGGTCCTATATTGCGAGGATTTGGCCAACGGGTGTTTAAATACTCCGTTTGCTACGCAAAACCACGCAGCATATCGCGGTTTTCTGCACATTTCCCACGAAACAGCTGCAAATGCGCACCGAGCAGAGCTAATTGAAACCAATTTCACAGGCAAAACTGAATACTTGGAATACCGAGTTAAAAGTACGACGATGCGAACGCACTCTACTGGTGCTTTAAACCGAATAGCTGGGAGGCACAAGGCTCAGTCGACCGCAGCCTGTGATATCAAATGTGACTTCTTGTACAAGTTCTGCATACGAGATGGGAATCATTATTGAATTCAGTGCTCGCACAACTACACAGCCGACCCAAGGAAAATCCACCCAACGCACAGAAACATAGCTGCGGGGAATAGAGACACAAAATAAAATATACAAAACATTGTTCTCATGAAAATGTCATGCTTGAGCCCACAAGATTGCTGGAACGTAAATTATTCAACATTGCAAAAAAGTACCTATTTGTTTTTTTTCCGTATTTAAATTGAAACATGCAGGCGATGTACACTCAAAAGAAAATACGTTAACTCTTCTCTTCACCCTTGCCTTCTCTTCCCCCACTGCTCATTTATCTCACCTCCTAACCTTCTCCCCCCTTGCTTAGCTCTACGGCTGCTCTCCGGATTAAATATCGCGGACCACGGATGACAAAGATCCACGTCGTGCATGTACCCCTCTGGCTCATACTGCCGTGTTCCGTCAGCCCCTTGTTTGTTCTGCTGTTATGTTACCGCAAAGCGATATATTTGTTTTACTCGGGACACAAACCACGAGGATATAAACTCCCATAACACTGTCAGATTTGCCATAGGTTTTGTTGACATGTTGATATTCTATGCCGCGGGGGCATACAATCGCAACAATTCGAAGGGCAACATTAGTAGAAATTTGGCCCAACGAGGACAAAAAAAAAATCGAATATTTATAGCTCATTTCACCCCCGTGGTTGAGCAATCTTGCACAGTCGCGTGCAGGTGGAATGACATCGTGAACAACAGCGCCACGCCTTTCCATGTTGTGCAAGGATCGGTTCACAGAGGATTTGCTGAACATGGCGAATCACAAGGGCGCCTCTGATGACGTCGTCGAGCGTGGCGCTTGAACTCGCAGATCGGTTTGTGAAGTGGCAGCTGCCATCTTCTTGGTTCTTTCGGTAAAGTCACGTAGAAGGAAAATAATAAAATAATAAAAATAAAACATAATAAAATAATTCCCACGACGTTTCGGCTACAATGCAAGCAGCCGTCCTCAGGTGAAGAATGAAACACCACCAAGCTTGGAGCGTATATTTAAGCTGGGTTGGAGGGGGAAGAAGAGCGCCTTGACAAAATAATTTGCATATCAAGAGGGATTTAGCATATTTATGGGAAATGCGTAGGAGGTGAGCGGGTGGTTTCAAAGTCATATTATGCCCATGCATTATGCAGGATTAGCAGCATCAAAGGGAGGGGGTAGGGGGTAGCATTAACAGCTGCCAATCAGCGTTGGGGTAGCACACAGTGGGTGGAGCCATCTTATTTGACAGGTACTAGTCTATTTTACCGAGTTGTTGACATCCGCAGCGTTTAACAGTCCTGCTATTTTTTTGGGTTTGGAAGCCAACACCGGCCGTAATTCTTGCGGAGGTGCTTAACAGGTACCTTCCCATTCTAGCCCCGCGCATCTCCCGCCCGCCCCCCCTCCCAGTCCCTGACTGCCACATTTAGATAAGCTCCTCCCCCCTCCCCTGAACGAGTATATAAGATCTTGTCACTTGGATTTCCCTTCACTTGATACAGTAAATTTGGCTGTGACGGTCCCACCTGAATACGGAGACTTGTGTTGCCTCCGAAACGTCGTGATTTAATTTAGTTATTTTCATTTTATATTTTTTTATTTTATATATTTATTATTATTTTTACCTACGTGACTTTACCGAAAAAACCTAAGAGTATGGAGCCAACTGCTTTGAATAAAAAACGAGGCTTATTGGGTGGCAGTAATGAAGATACAAAGTCTTAATTCAGGGACGTAAGGAAAAAGACAATTGCGACGATGTAAATAGTGTCAATCTCTGATTTAATTGACAGTTTGTTGACGAAGTGAAATTTGCTCAAACATAAGAGATGTTGATGTAATTTAGATTTGCACCTATTAAGGTTAATAGTTTGGACCTAATTTAGACATTAAATAGTCCCAAACTATGACACAAAGAAAAATATGTGCTATGTAGCCTTATATCCTTTTGGTGTGAGTGAAGTTAGCGAGCTCATATTTAGCTGTGGCGGCGAATTACACTCAGGTGACCGGTTTTGAAGTGCAGAGCGCCAGCCCCACACGATGCTACCGCTCGCAAACTATGAACACACTCGTACAAAGCGTTCACCTAATGATAATACGCTTACCCCACCACGGCGTGAACAGGTTATTACTTAACAAAAGATGCGTGACGTTCGGACGAAAGGAGGCCAACAAAAATCCTGTGTGAACCAACCTAACGGTCTAAAAATAGTCATCGAACAACATCGGCGACAGAATCTGCCACCGCGATATGAAATCTCCTAAAAAAATCACTGCTAACGTCACCGCAAAACTTCCCTCCCAGGCGCAAAGGCAGGTGTAGAAAAAAAAAGAAATACATTCAATACACCGGCAGATCACACGATTGTGTGCACCGACCTTGAGCAGTTCAAACCGAAGCGAACAATAAAATTAAAAACCAGAAACCCATATCCAGTCAAAATGGGACGTGTGCGTACGGCTGAACGAGCACAGGCGATATAAAAACACACACACACACAGTAACATCTGCCACTACAGTGTAACTCAAGAAAAAAAAACCTCAGGCATTTCAAAGAACTTTGCATCCATGAACGTTGCCACACATTCTTCGTGGTCACCGTGGTTTCTAGTGCCAAATGGGATGAGCCACAAGACGTTGTGTTGCATTGCCGTCAGTTCTCCACAGAAAAATCGTACCAAAAATAAAAACACCCGTGTAAAATCATCCGCTACGATAACTCATTGGGCCGACATTGAAAGAAGAAAACAAACGCAAGGCATTTCTTACTGTTGTCAAACGACATCAAGATTCATCCCATTAGATTTGCCGGAGATGGACATCACATGATATTTAGTGCTCGGATCGCATTGGCTGTTAGCTATCGGACAACACTAAATTAATTAATCAGGCAAATCCAAGTCCAACGGAGTACAAATGATGGTTTAGCTGATGTCTTGTGGACTGAGAGTCCAGTGTGCTCACCACTGCTTCCACCCGCACCTCCAATTAGCACGGTTGGCTATGTACCGTGCGAAAGAAGTTCAACATACATATGCATACGTGCGTGTGTGTGTATAGAGAGGGGTTTGCCAGTTCAATCTCCCGGTACAGCAGTTGAAACAAAGGGCCCAGGTTTATGAAATAAAAACCCTCCTCTGTCCACCCAGCAGTATAAACGAGTACAGTAGAACCCCTCTTAGCGACCACCCCTGTCAACGACTAATCGCTTAACGACGGGTCTCCATTGTGCCCAATGTGTAGTGTATAGTAGTGTAGTGTATAGTAGTGTATTGTATAGTAGTGTAGTGTATAGTAGTGTGTTGTGTATAGTAGTGTAGTGTATAGTAGTGTATAGTCGTGTAGTGTATAGTGTAGTGTATAGTAGTGTAGTGTATAGTGTATAGTAGTGTAGTGTGTAGTAGTGTATAGTAGTGTAGTGTATAGTAGTGTAGTGTATAGTGTAGTGTATAGTGTAGTGTATAGTAGTGTAGGGTGTTGTATATAGTAGTGTAGTGTATAGTGTAGTGTATAGTAGTGTAGTGTATCGTGTAGTGTATAGTGTAGTGTATAGTAGTGTAGTGTATAGTAGTGTAGTGTATAGTAGTGTATTGTATAGTAGTGTAGTGTATAGTAGTGTGTTGTGTATAGTAGTGTAGTGTATAATAGTGTATAGTCGTGTAGTGTATAGTGTAGTGTATAGTAGTGTAGTGTATAGTAGTGTATAGTAGTGTAGTGTATAGTAGTGTAGTGTATAGTAGTGTAGTGTATAGTAGTGTTGTGTAAATTTGTGTATATAGTGCAGTCTATAGAAGTGTAGTGTATAGTAGTGTATTGTAGTGAATAGTAGTGTAGTGTATAGTAATGTAGTGTATAGTGTAGTGTATAGTGTATAGTAGTGTAGTGTATAGTAGTAGTGTATAGTTTAGTGTATAGTAGTGTATATTGTAGTGTATAGTGTAGTGTATAGTGTAGTGTATAGTAGTGTAGTGCCTCCATAGAGCCCACTGTGTTCGCTTACCGATCATTCCCCTGTTAACGATGGGCTATTGGCGGTACAGAAAATATTAATTGATTGATTAACCATGTTTCCTTTTAACATGATGTGTGTATGTCTTTCGTATCTTTATGTATTCATATCCATTGTTTAAGTATTATAAAGTACTTTTTTGGTAAAAAGAGGTAACTTTCGATGCTATCGAAACTAATTAAGCCTGTGACATATATTTCCTATACTCGCTTAACGACCTAATCATTTAACGGCCGGTTTCATCGAACCAATTACCGCCGTTAAAAGGGGTTCTACTGCCCACCAGTTAGTCGATCTGAAGATCGGTTGCAATGGGGTTAAAGTGTGGGGGTGCTCCCACTTCTTCCAAGACATGTGGCAAGCGTGGAAGAGTCGGCCACAAAAAACACCCCCGAGAAGGGCTCTGTAGCACTGTCTAGTGGAGGCCCTTTCACCTGCAGGAGCGTGAGCAAGTAATTGCAGAGCTGCACCTTAGCTTTACTTATATGTGCGTGGAAAAGATGTCAAAACGTGGCCTGGTAAGTTCGGCGACACATCCTATGAGAATAACAGCCAGTCTTGATTTCTTGCATGGTTAAGAGGACATCACAAACCTCAAATCTGTCTTTCCGAATGCAAGAACGCATTGCCAATCGGGTGCAGAGTTGGCCATCAGCCTATTCTAGCTTGCGTACATTTTAATGTGCAGTCTTTTATTTATACTAGCGGTAACTCATCTCAACGAACAAACCTGTGTGCATGTCCCACCATTTTGCGTGGCGTCTTGAGATGAGGTTGCGTTAAGATATTGAATCCCGTAGTATAAAATAACACGCGTAAAATGTCCACCACTCGATAAGGGCCTCCTCCTGACGCAGCGTTAGTCGTGGGGGTTGTTTGACTATATTTCACCACTCTGGTCAGTGCTGGGTTAGTGAAAAGGGACGAGGGGAGGTGGGAGAGCATTGATTAAAGACCAGTCCAAATATCACTCGCCACTGATGTGAGCCGTGGCCGGGAACCAAATTTGATTAGTTCGATTCATAGCGCAGTAGTAGTGCACCACCGCTCAAATTTAAAATACCTATCCCATACAGCAGCTTTCTAGGATTTATATACCACCTGGAAAAATAATTAAAATCAGACTAAAGACCAGTTATTTTACAAATCTACCACATTGTAATCACAAACGTGTAATTTATGTTGGAGATCGCATCCTTCCTTAGTTAGTGTTGGCACCCAGGCATTTCACATTCACAGTGACCAAACCAACAAAATATCTCAATAAAAAGAGAGTCAAGTATGAAAGTTTTTTCTTAAGAATATATACTATTTTTTTTCATCAAGTCTTCCACCAACGTTCCCACAACGGGAAAGCTGACGAGAAGAAAAATAAAGTGTCGTTACGCGCGGAGCGTTCTCTACGTCTTGGGCCTTTTTTTCGTGGGACGTTTGGCAGATTTGGACGCCTGCTTAGGCACCACGTGGGGCCCGCCCTGCGCGCACAGCATGGCCAGCATGGCGTGCACGCGGGGAAGCAGCTGCTCCCTGTAGAGCAGCGTCGCCCGGTCCTCCGTCACGTTCTCTGTCCCCGGCTGGAACAGCGCCGCCCCAACGGACTTGTAGTGGTGGAGCAGGGCCGCCTGCTCGGGCACGTTGAGCACGAGCGCGCCCTGCAGCAGCGTGTCGGCGCGGTGGACGCCCTGGTGCACCACCGAGCGCGAGTCCACCAGCACCTTGGTCGCCCTGCCATCCGTGACGAGCCTGAGCGTGCGCAAGTAGTCCACGTCAGCCTCGCTCTCGTGCACGCAGGCGCGCGCGGGCAGCTTGCGGTAGATGGCGTGTGGCTCCAGTGGGAAGATGCCGTTCATGAACGTGAAAACGGAGAAGCGCTGCTCGCCGTTGCTCTCGCCACCCACCGGAGACAGGGCGCTCACCATCTCGCTCCAGTTGGCGAAGGCGTGCGGCACCACGACTTCGTCGATGTCGTTCATGAAGACCCAGCGGGCGCGATGCGCCGAGCGGTACAGACAGTCGGTCATGCAGCCGATCTGCCCGTAGTAGTGGACGTCGCCGGGGTTCCGGTCCAAGCGCCATCCCGTGGACACGTTGAGATGCTCGCTCACCGGCCAGGGCAACACATTAGCCAGTCCCGCCTTGGCGTACAGGTGCAGTGCCGCGTCCACGTTCGGGCCCAGGCTGTAGTTGTAAACGGTGACCAGGCTCGCGCCCAGAAGGCGATAGAACTCGACGCTCTGAAGCAGGTGAAGGAGCCGGTCGTAGCGGCCAAAGAGCATGGGCAGGCACACGGCAAATTCTACCTTGGGGCCCGTCGGACGGTGCACGAGTAGCGAGGTACGGCCTTCGCTCTCTGCCGGTGGATCCAGCTTGCACAGGGCAACCGACACGCGGTCGGGCGGCGACTGCCACGGGGGAATGAGACACAGCAGGCTGTGAACCGCGTACCTGAAACGACAATCATATCGCACAGCTACAATGCGCAGTTGTCGCAGAGCGCGCCTCAAGCACCGATGAAGTGAAGATCATGTCGCATCGCTGGATCTATATATTTACCCCCCTAAGCTACTTTTGCTACTTTCTTTGCAGGAAGTCTGTTGATGCTCACAATGAGGTGGATGTTTTTTTTTTATACTTCAAAGTCACATCGTGTAGACCGGGTCGTGAACGTCGCTGCGCGCTGGTTGGCACACTGCGCTAACAGAACCAGTTCGAATCCTGGCCATGGCAAACACTGACCAGCATGGGGAAGCATGGTCAAACAACCTCGACAAAACTGACACAGCTCTGGGGAGGCCTTTATAAAGCAGTGGACTGACAAGGGGCTATAAGTGATCATTTTATCCTTCTCGTTGCCCAGACGACGGTGGATAACAGGGTTTTTTCTTGCGCTTTCAACTTTTGCAACAATGTAACTTCATTATACAAGGGCCAACTGAATTAGCATTTTCCACTTCTGGTTTTCACCATCTGACTCGGCCGTTACCACACGTCATGCACGTCTGGGTGACTGGCGTTAACATGCCAAGCGAGGAAGCCGGCCAAACACACACACACACAGCATCGGCCAACTGCTTACCACACACCACTACTTTTTGGAAACGTTATTTGGTCACTTTCCTTGAAACGTTGGCTGCACGTCCGTTTATTTTCTTAGCGCAGCATGAACGGCTCATGCGTTCAAACGCAGGTGTGGTACTGCGGACGAAGGAGGACGGAGGGGGGAATGTTTGCACGCAGCGCGTAAACGTCTGAGTGTTCTTCTTTCATACATGTGACACTACGCAGGGTGGCCCAAAAGTCAGGACACATAGGGTTATTTGATTTATTTTCACACCGGCATGAACACTATTTAATTGTTTATTATGCTATTTTATCTGTTATCATTGTTCATATTTATGTTTTATTCTTCCTGTGGGGGGGTCGCCTCAAATCTGTCGCTTCCAAAAACTCGACCAAGAACCCTGAACGAGTTGACAAGAAACGTAATTGATGAATGTTCATAGATTACTCCTAAAATATTAAAACAAGTCCCAATAATTTTTTTTTTATTAATGCATGCATTCATGTTAATGGGAGTAAGTTTTAACATTTGATAAAATAAATATAATAACCCTATGTTCTGATTTTCGGGCCGCTGTCTCTTTGAGGATACAGAAGATGGCGGATTCATTCTTTTAAGATTATTCCCAGGAAATTCGGGCACACTGGCTGGTGAATGTTAGTGTGACTCACATCTTCTGTGTTGTAATGTTGGACTTTGGCTCTCAAAGACTGTTCTGAAAGATGGGGTTGCAAGCACCAACGTTGGCCAATGAAATATAAATCAATTGTACCGTACATTCCTCTGGTCAAATGTGAACTAATGCTCTGGATATGGCAGTATGTTGCTTAAGATGCATACATGTACAGCAGTGTTTTTTTCTGGAAAACTTTGATGTTTTTCCAGGATTTTTCTGTTGCGTGTAGTCACTTTAAGATGTTTCTTGTTCATGTTTTTGTTTTCTTGCGGTTGCACCCGAGGCAAGAGCCACATGGCTCACAGGGTTATACCTAATACATGAAACTAAAAACTAAAACTGAAAGAGGGAAATATCTCAATCTGAATATCCATCAGCTCTGTGATTGGATGCGATTTTTTGACATCGCATGGTTGTAGAACATCCACCAGCCGTCCCACTGGATGAAGTGATGTCACATCAGTGTAACCACTGTCAACAGCGATATCCAAAACGCCCAAATGCTGAAAACAAATAATGAAGGCTGGCTTGTCTTTATCACGGTCAAAACATGCACCTTTAATTTAGTTCTAACCTCAACAGTTTTGATTTGGGCTGATGATAAGCAGACTTGGAAGTTTGCTTAAGAGGCAGTGAAGCAATGGGATTATGGGAGAAGATTAGTTACGACATCACGATAATGACGACCGCATTGTATTCGTTTGTCAGGGGGCCAATGTTGGGCAACAGGCAGAGCAGGTTGCGTCAAGGGAGTCACCAAAGCAGATTTCATTGACGTGGTCTATTAATTAAATAAACAGAGGCTCATGTGTACCCCATTGTAGTGTACGTAGCTCTGCACAATTCTATCTTTAGCGCTCGCATTGCATTTCATCGTTTCCATAGATATGCATCAGATGTCCAAACATTCTTGAGGTGTACTTGGCTACTTGGGCTTTCCGATGTTTTATGCAAATACGAATGAATGCACCACTACAAGACGTGTTCTTTAGGTGCCAGGACTATTCACAAAAGGAGCATGTATGTAAATATCTGGTTCTCATAAGTTTATTTAATCAAGAATACCACTATAGATGGCTTTAAGTGTTCATTGTGCTATTTAATGCGCAGTTATTCTGTGATTACACTGTTGGCAAGTGGGTTGCATGCGGTGGATCAACACGTGCGGGTACTATTCTCACTTCTTACAAGTTGTCTGGATCCTGACTGGTTGTGGGTTGGTTTACTTGCATGAATTTGCATGGTTATAACTTACACAGATCTAGATAATTTTAGATTTTTTCACAGTAGGTGTATTATATGGTAGTAGGGCATTTGCAGTTCTTTAGAAACTCCTCCTTTTTTGTTGCCCACATAATACACGAGCTTGATACGTGGTGGTTTGGCTGCTGCAGTTCCTTATGATTAAAATTTCCCTCCCTTTATTACTGCTAATCCTACTTCCTCCATTTAGCACTGCTAACCCTACATAATACACTAGCATAACTTTGAGACCCCCCCCCACCACCTACACATTCCACAAGGAGTGATTAATCCCATATCTGCATTTCCTATCAATATGCTTATTTCCGCTGTTGATATGTAAACTCCTTTGTCAAGGTGCTCTCCTCCGACACAGCTTAAATATACGCTGCCAAGCTTGGCGGTGTTCATTGGGACGCTGTCTTTTCGACAGCTCTGTTTCTTCACCTGAGGACGGCTGCTTGTGTTGTGGCCGAATTTGTATTTTATTATGTTTTATTTTTATTATTTTATCATTTCCCTTCTACGTGACTTTACCGAAAGAACCAAGAGGAAGATCTAGATACTCTTTATTATTGTGTGATCAGCCCACACCTTGCCCTGTCCCACACAAATCTCACTTTGGCTGCTCATGGCATTCCCTGTGAGAGCTTGTCTGGCTCGTCTTACTGTCGCTTTGCCAGTCCTTGTGTTGAGCTTCCCAGGTCTATTTATGGGCCATTCTGGACCGTCAATGTTCTAGCTCACCTGGGACTTACACATAAGTTGCAGAACCCCCATGTTTTGGCCAGGAAATGCACTGGGCTTCACCTTCAACCGCTCGGGGCCTTGTTATTAGGCTACCTACACAATGTGTTATGGGCCACACCCAGCCATTATAGTTCCCCACTGAGCAGGGGATGCCATCAGCATTTGGGTTAGGATATTGCAAGTGTACAGTAGTCGTGCACTGCTGCATAGATGCCTGGTACTTCATACGATTGTTTTCTATCTCTATTCAACTGCACAACTGAGTCAAGTGGTGGCCGTGTTGAACCAGTCTTACGAGGTGTCATGTTGTTTTTCCACGAGCCGTGCTCGGGTTCTGCATGCCAGATTCCGATGTATCGCGAGGCCGCAGTTTTAGAGTGTGGTTCTGGCTCAGCTCGGCAAATGAGCCAGTGGGAAATTGCCCACATCGCGAAAGCCCTACGCTGGTGTGGCTTGGATGTGGGATAGGGGTCTTAGGGTCAACGGAGAAGTGTGCACACTGCTATCAAACCTTAAACATGGCTTGAACCTCGTTGTAAGAAAAGTGGGCAAAAATTGCCTGGCTCTGAGAATTGCCAATGGGCGAGAAAAAGGTTACGGGTGTTTTACAAAGATATTTTTTTGTTAGCGGCAGGATACCAGGTGTTGGCACACAACTCAATGTATTGTTAATTGAATGGTCATAAGCGATGTAATTAATGTATGAAAAAACATGAATGAATTTCATTGAAGATATCTCTCCGATGTCATTGAACCCTCCCGTACCTGTAGCTATAATGAGCTGGATGCAGTTCCCGCTCATATATGCGGATGGTCGTATTTCTCTTGCCTTGACGCCAGTGAGTGCAGCACAGGTCAGGGTCCTCTTTGCGCGGTGAAACCGTCAGGATCCGCACGAACGCACCCATCTGCAACGCATCCCCAAAAAAACATTGGGGCTTTAAAGTGCCAAAGTATAACGATACATTTACATATTGAAGGTTTTATTGTTGAAAAATTTGACAACTCAAGTCTGTTTTTGTTTTCTTACAAACCTATCGTGGTTTCTTTCGTATACGTTTACAAGAATTTTTTTAGCGTTTTGTATTATCTCCCCAAACCTGACCACATAATTAATTTGATCAATTCACTTCATCCATTTTAGCCACCTGCTCTGAACAGAACCATACTTTCTGGACAATGGAGTTGTTGTGAGTTAACAAGATTTTGCCACCCATGGAGAGTTGCACGGAGATTACTTTAAGCCACAGATAAAATTACACACGCGCAAACATTTACACACAATGCCTTACGTGGTCTAACCTGACCAAAGATGAACTCAATAGGAATAAAACAGACAATGAAACCCGCGAATTTGTGCCATGGGCCAATATTTTCAATGGACAAACGAAACGAATATACAATTCTGCCAAGCCCACTGCGCCAGAATTGTTCAATACAATAACCAATGGCCAATTTTGTTCCCCAAACCAATGGCCAGGGTAGACGGATGAAGGTCAGTCATAAAGTACCAAACAATGCCGCTTGAGGAGACGTCGTGTCACGAGGATAGTTGGTGCAGGGGAAACAAAATGAGTCCAAGTAAAAACACAAACGGGTGCAAATTATGGAATTCTGCATCATTAAACGCGTCTCGCATTCTGTCGGGAACATCGCTCACCCGGGCCACCAACAGGGCCACCAAAGTCACGAGACCCCACGTGTAGGCAACTCATGAAACGTTGTTGAACTCAAATGAATGGCCCAATTATATCCCCCTCCCTACGCCTGCGGCGCGAAATGGCGCATTGCACTGCTCCGTCAAACGCGCGGTGACGCTGCTGGCGGCGGCGCGAGAGGCGACGCGATTTGGCCGCGCCGAAATGCCGCCCCACGCGTGATGAATTTGCATGCCTCGGGTTATTCGCGCCGAAAAAGCAAAATGCTCCCCTTTGTTGCACTTACGGCTGCGGTTACGTACGGAGCAGCGATGCCTCACAAAGCCCAAGCACGCCCCCCGTCCCCCCCCCCGCTGTGAAAACGCTGCAATCTTGAGCCACCCACCTTGAAGCGATCATCGAGATGAGCGGAGAGCAGGTAGGTGTTGGTGCCGGGGACAAGGTGCCACCAACCCCCCAGGTCCTCGGCATGTGGTTTGTTGTTCAGTCCTTCTCGCGCCTCCCCGGTGTCATTCATATCGATCTTGTGGCCTTGACCTCTCTGAGCTTAAGGGGGGGACACGGAGCGTGGCAACAATACATCTACCCATCTGGCACATTCCAGAAACGACTTGCTCGTCTTTGCTACGATTATTGTTGTAATTGCTCTCCGATGTGTTTCGGGGATTGACCGCATCTTGTTCGGCACTATGCGCGACGTGTTGCTACGATGTGCTGGGAGCTCCGTTGCGATTCGGTTCCTGGAAAAGCTCACCAGCACGTGGAGCGGAACATCGGACATAGCGCCAGACAACGCGCGGTACAACCCGGAAATGCATCGGGGAGTAGCATAGTCGTTGTAATTGGTTAGATTCACGTTTAAGTTGCTTTAAATACAGTGTCGTGCAATTGAAGGGCACAGACGTGACAGTTTAATTGCGGCGTAAACGAGAGTTATATATAGTCGGGACAAAAAAAACGAATCCTTTTAAACATTCCAGTTTCCACCGTGTCGACTTTACTTAATCCTGCTGCTGCTGCTGCTCAAGACACGTCAACTATTTTAAACACATCTCAAAATAATGCCCCGCCTCACTGTAAACCAGGCTGGGGGATGGCGCGGGGGGGGGGGGGGCTGGAGGGGTGGGGGTGTCTGTAAGGGGGGACTGGAGGGGGTGGCTGGGGGGGTGTCTGGGGGGGTGGCTAGGGGGGGTGTCTGGGGGGGTGGCTGGGGGGGTGTCTGGGAGCGTGGCTAGGGGGGGTGTCTGGGGGGGTGGCTAGGGGGGTGGCTGGGGGGGCTAGGGGGGGGGCTGGAGGGGGGGACTGGAGGGGGGTAGTGTCTGGGGGGGGGTGGCTGGAGGGGGGGGGTCGCTGGGGGGAAGGTGTCTGGAGGGTGGGGCTGGAGGGGGGGCTGGAGGGGGGGGTCATGGAGGGGGGGGGCATGGAGGGCGGGTGGCTGTAGGGGGGGGCTCGAGTGGGGGGGACTCACTGTGACTGTCCCCAGTCGGAGCCGAATGTTTGTTGACTCCGTGGGTTCCGTTCAGACGCGTCTCATCCAGACGCACAGCACCTGGGAGCGCGGCCTGCGGTTTTCCAGCGGCCGCGTTTTTGGCGGCGAATTTCTGAGCATCTCTTTGTCCGGGGGCTGCGTGACCGATGGCAGTCGGCCACTGGAGTGCCTCCTCCTCCTCCTCCATGCCGCGCGGGCGTTTGGTGCCCGCGCGGTCGACGGGCAGAAGGCTCTGAGCGCCCTGGCCGGCCGCCGCTTGGCTCGGTCGCGTTTGGCCGGCGACGGTCTGACGCAGCCGCTGCAGGAGCGATTGCCGAGACGGTGACTGGCGGCTTTGGAGGGTCACTTGGTGGGAGGCCTGGAGCAGCAGCAGAGCGGACACGAGCGAGAAGACGACGCACGAGTGGCAGGCCAGGCGTCGGAAGCACTTCCTGTTGAGCAGAGCACGGAGTGTTTGACGCAGGCAGCAACGAACTCTTCTCGTAGAGGACGACGTGCAATGGAGCGGTGTTATTTAATATTCTTAGGTTTTTTCGGTAACAGCACGATAGCTGTATCACTTGATACAGCTATGGTGCTGTGACTGTTCCACCTGAAGACGGAAGCTTGTGTTGACTCCGAAACGTCGTGATTTTATTAAATTTTTATTTAACTTTTATTAATTTAATTTTTTACCTACGTGACTTTACCGTAAAAACCTAAGAATATGAATCCTTGCAGTCACGAAAGCTTCAAATCTAGAATTAAGGTGTTATTTAATTTGCGCTGGGATGCTGGCGCGGTGTAGTGGACTTGAAATCCGGAGGGTCGCCGGGTTTGATTCGATCTCCCGAGGCGGCAGTTGGGGCAACTTTATTAAATCCCCCCCCCCTACCACCACTGCATCTGTCCACTCAGCAGTAGAAACCAGTCGATCAGCAGGTCGCGTGTAGTGGAGGAATGTTTGGATATTCCCACGAACTTCCAAGGCATTTGGCTGGCGTGCAAGCGTAGACCAAAATATCCAGAGAGTGGCTCTCTACAGCTCTCTTTAGTGGAGGCACTTCTGCCAGCAGTATTGTGAGCACGTCATCGCCGGGCTGTACATTTACCTTTTTAATATATGTTCTATGCATGTTGGTACAATGGTGAATAAACACTTTTCTTTTTACTTTATTGCAAGATCGCAGAATCTTTACTTAAAGCTTTCGTGACTGCAGGAATTCATATTCTTTGGGGTTTTCGGTAAAGTCACATAGATAGGTTCAAAGAAAATAACAGAATATAACAAAAAACTTTTAATTTTGTAATTTTCAAAAGAATACGATCGCAGAGCTCGGCGTTTTGCCTTTTACGGTTGTTAACCATTCCAACGCAAATACATAAAATAGTGAAAATGTCTATTTTACTTTGCTAACTTCTGATTGTTATTTTACAATGTAAGTTAGTAATATTCCCATACAACAACGGAAACAACAAACATGTTCCACGTCATTTGTAAAAATACCGTAGAGCATTTAAATTCAACAGTGTCATTTAAACTGCCCGCAGAGATGCATTGTCCATTTTGTGGAGGGGGTAAATGAAACAATTGATTTAAAATGTGACTTTTTCCATATTCGGTATCCCCCCCCCCCCCCCATTCACATCCTTCTTGTTCCTCAAGATATCCACATTTCCTTTCCTCTCCTCTCAGCCTTCTCCACTATAACACATTCCCTTTAGCCTTGCAGATTTAAAAACACACAAATGGCTTCCTTGATTCATTGTTTGGCCCCTTTGGGCACGAATGGGTATAGCTTCTCAGTCAAGTTAATATTTTGGTTTATATCCCTAAAAATACTGTATAGATGTCTTGGATGCGACAATTTTAATAGCTGGCCCCGAGGACACGCTTGCATGTTTTGATCACGAGGAAGATCAATGGCAATGCCATCCAACCAAATTTGTTCAGCATGAACCAAGTGGCAACTCCATAATCTTGATTTCACAATACAGTATTAAACAACAAAGATCGTGTTGCAGGCATAGGGGTGAATGTTTAATTACACGTATAGAAGTCGTCGCCATGAACAGCACAGTGTGCAAGTTGCAATAAAGACGTATTTCAAGGCATACGTTACATTTGCACTCGGTTGTATTTGGAGTCTCAAAGTCAGTACGTTGCCCATTATCATGGATATATTTCGAATTATTTGTTCTCATAGAGCCCCATCCCTTACGCGCGGGTGTTTGGGAGTGCTTTAAACGCGATAAGCCTAAGTGACAGCTTTCCCGGTGCGGCACAAATTTGACTTGGCGCCTGATGAAGTCGTTTCCACGTCACGTCAGTCATGGGGGCTGTTTGGCCATAATTGACCACACTGGTCAGTGCAGGCTTGTGAAGATGGATGGAGGTCAGAAGAGGGTATGGATATCTCTCGCCACTGACGTAAGACATGACATGGAATCAAACTCAGATCAGCGGCATCTTAGTACTGGCGCTAACCACCGTGCGACGGCACAACCCCTGAACATTGACGCTAATGTCGAAAAATAATCAAAGAATGCTTTTTCTACGAACACTTCTTAAAATAGCCATGAAGAGTTGTCTGTACCACATGCAAGTCGAGGCCACAATATGAGGATGTACGACTCAGTCAGAGATCCCAAGCTAGGCCGAGAATACGGATGATGGGCAGATGACGCGATCGAACTTAAACACCAAGGGCAATGCGGATTGACACCGGAGCAGCGAGGCTGGCAGAGAGACGTGGAGGGACGAAAACCACAGCAGCCACGGGCCAATGCAGCAGGCACTCTTGCTGCATATAACACAGTGCCTGTGTATGCAAGCTTTGTTTACATTTCTTGGCAAGCAGGCTCAAGCAGGAGAAAGCCTTAACCATATGAGGGAGCCTCAACGCATTGAAACAGTATATCCTGAGAAAGGAACACAAGATAACTGTAAGGCACCGCAGTCTGAACGAGGGTTAACTGCCCTTATAGGGTTTCATTTATCCTTCACGAGACCAGCGTTGCTTGCAGGATTGTTATTTTAAATGACTCACCGTAGCTTTGGCTTTTGGGTTATTACGGTGCAGATGTATAAACCTTCTCCAAAACCAGACGCCACGAAGGATTTTAATGAGAAAAGAATACCTGTTACATTGCCACGGGGCCTCCTCGCGTATATAAGAAATATACATCTTTAATAAAACCCAACAAAATTCTCTAGCGAGTGCCTTGAAAGGCATTAATGCATTTTTTATTATGCCCCCTTTTTTTGTTGTTGCAACTTTCGGTATTGCGACTCGGAGGACGTGTACGTTGCTAAGAAGAGCAAGATGATCAGATCGCCGAAACGGCGAGAGAACGATTAGCCCACAGGCACCTGATTCTGCCACAGCTTATCTGTACAGGAAATATCTTTCCTCCCATCAAAGCACATATAAGCATAACATCTGTTCTGTCTGTCCACGTATACAGTATATAACAATAGGATTCAGTCCATCAGCCTATTGGCTTTTCCAGACCAATATCGCCACGCCGCGTTTGTTTTAATAAAACAAACTCTGGACTGGTTTCAAACATCTGGGTCTCATCAGCATAGTCAGGCTTGTTAAATGAATGCTGCTGGATTAACAGATGTTATTGGCAAGAGCTCTCCATAAAATCTAGCGGACCCCATTCAGCACAAACAAAATCGACGGCATATGCCAACTCATACGTTACGGCGGACCATTATGTGCAAACGCATTCGGCATGCGTAGAGTATTTTCTCTGATCAGCAGTTTTCTATTAAGTTTACGTACCCGTCACCGTCACCGTTATCAATCTGCTGCTGGATGAAGGCCCAAGCCACATCTTACACATCCCATTTCCTTCGTTGTCACTCCGCCACTATTTGTGGCTCATCGATCATCACCCCTTCTCACCAGCCCTTGTCACGGCGACGCGTTCTTCCCCACAAAACCCGTCCAAGTTTCTTTAAAGTTTTAATTATGCCTCTAACCTGTGTGGTAAACATATACGACTGTGACACATTGCGATCTAATGGAATGTTACGCAAACCAGGTAAATGAGTCGGGCTAGAGGAGCCATGCAATTTCAATAAAAAATATATTGCAGAAAGAAACTTCGGTCGTTATTTTATGTTGCCATTCTAAAAACTGTTCCACATGCACAAATAATATAATCAGTTCATTCTGGATCTCCCAACAGCTCTGATAAGAATCATCGCCCGATACATCTTTTTGTGGAATTCAAAAGAGTTTTTCTTCATTTTAATTTCCTGCTCTGAAGCTTTGCCCCAAAGGTCGCCAAACCAGGGGAAACTCAAGGCACCGTTTCTGCACGCGGTGTGGAATTTGGCAGACGCTTATGGAGTGTCATCACAGGGACAGCCTTACAAGAGTAAAGGTTATTCCTTTAATTTATGGCCCATTGTAGCTCTTAAGAGTGCACGGTAAATCTCAACACCACACTCGTGTTACAAACGGTTGAACATTTGGGTCACTTAAGGGTGCTGACATGTGCTATTTTTACATCTTAGGCATAAATGCACAATGTGCATCGCAATTTTATTGTTTAACAAAATGTGTGCTTAACACAAATTCAGGAAGTTGGCCAAAATCGATGAAAACTTGATTTTACAAAGTAGTATAAACCTAATAATTGGTTCGTAAATAACGAAAATAGCAGTCATACCAATAAAACAACATATGCTCGTATTAATCACAAAGATGACTCTATGTAGAGAATACGAAACAGAGCTATAGATCGTGCAACACTGTGTGCATTCAGATCTTTACATTTAATATCGTAAATCTGTGGCTCTGCAGGCCAGCATCAGAAGGTCGGCTTGGCATGCGTTCAAGAGATTTGCAAGAGTCGAAGCTGTACGCCTTGTGAAATAAATAAGCGCGCAACATATTGCGAAACAATAACGAGCTTTGTCAATTTTCAAGGCTGGCTCCGGAGCAGTCATTACACAATCCTTCGGATGGATGACTTCTTGCAATGACATTGCCCAGATGTTTATGTTTTATTTTGTTCCCCCCCCCCCCCAAAAAAAAAACGTGCAGCTCTCTGTTTTAACCGAACCCTCAAATGCAACTTAATACGAACTTGCAGCTGGTTTCTTGAAACACGTATGACTTTGACTCATCAACATATCTTTTTTTTTAAATTAAACAACGCTGAGCTGTTAAGCTATATGACAAAACATTCACGATTGTACCTTCATATTTTCACACCACTAATGAGTCTCGTGTGTTCTGTGTTTAATTACCATATGTTTTAATTGATTGTTATTGTATGAATGGAATTTAACTAAAGTACTTCGGTGTTAAATGTTTTTCATTTGACTATGTTTTGGATTTTTGTCAAACTTTTGAGATCTTTAAGAGGCTTTCCCTGTAACTTTACAAATGGAGACAATTCACACGGAGAAAAAAAAACGATGACATTA